TGGAAGTCATGGCGACCTCTGGTGCCTGACCCCACCTGGGGGCCTGGAGGATATTCAGAGAGGTGGCTGAATAAAGCCTGCCCCTGCCTCCTGACTGCTGGTATTCCTTGGAGGAGTCGAACCTGCTTAGCTTCCGAGATCTGACAAGATTGGGCTTGCCTGGGTATGCCGGTTAGGGCCAGAGAACAAATTTCTATATCTGATGGTTCTATTATGGATCATATTCTGGACTAGAGTCAGAATGTGTTTTCTCCACACTTCTCACTTGCAGAATCCAGAGAAATTCCCTGAGATTTTTCCTTTTCTCCAGATCCTCCTTCAGTGTCCAATAGCTCTCTCTTTCCATGGAAGAAACTGTGTATACAATTTAGGTACATGCTTTTTGTACAGGAGAGTGATGTTTTAGCTTGAACATTTGCAAGGTGCTTCCATGACTGCCTTAGATTTTGCCCATTCAGAAACTTTGCAAAGTAGAAAACACTGAATAGATTTTCCCTGTGATTTTGCATTCTCCAGTGCCACCATCCATTAATGGAGCCAGTGGTGATATGCCTGAAGAGGTGACTGTGCTTGTGAGCAAGATGGCAGTTCTGGAATGTATCACAAATGGCAGCCCTACTCCAAGCATAACCTGGCAGAAAGATGGACAGCTCTTAGCTGAAGATTCCCAACACAAGTTCTTAGCCAGTGGAAGAACACTTCAGGTAATATGTGAGTTGCTGAGGATGGGACAGTCCATGAGCCCAAATAAGGTAAATTGGGAGTGATTGAGAAGGAAATTCCCAGAGTCAAAATTCAATCCTTAGTTGAAGATTCCCAACATAAGTTCTTAGCCTTTAGAAGAATGCTTCAGGTAATGTGTGAGTTGCTGAGGATGGGACAGTTCAGGAGCCCAAATAAGGTAAATTGGGAGTGGTTGAGAAGGGAATTCTCAAAGTCAAAATTCAGTCCTATAGAAAATATGGCAAACCGAAATAAGATAAATATTAATTAAATACCATCAAGTAGGCAAGAGATGAACAGAGGTAATTTGTTGTTGCCTTCCTCTGCATAGCAACCCTGGTCTTCCTTGGTGGTCTCCCACACACATACTGATCATGGCCAACCCTGCTTAACTTCTGAGCTCTACTGAGCTTGGGCTAGTCCGGGCTATTCAGGCCAGTGACAGTAACAGGTCCAAATAGAGGCACAGACACTGTGTAAAGTAATTGGACATGGTCATAATGACAAAGTCAGTTTTGGCAACAGGACCACTCATGAAATGTAGGGATCTTTGATGAGTGATCTGAATGACTTTCCTGCATCAGGCTCTTACCTCCCATTATTTTCCAGAATATATTGGATTGAGTCATGGTATGGTCTTTCAATCTCTGTCTTGTTTTGTGCTTGCTAGAGATTTGTTTACATGGTTGTAGTACAAAACATGGAGCAATGCAGGTCTTGGGTGCTGAGATGAAGGGGGCAGAGACTCAATGGAAGCACTGCTGTAACCATTATCGAGTACAGTTATATCCTGTTAGAGATAGAGTGACCCCGTGAATGCACATAATAGCTAGTACAGAATATGGATCTATTTTCCATGGTAAAAATAATGATGAATGTAGACATCCACTTACCAGGTATTTGCGATCACAATGAGAATAATAGCCAGGTGGTTGTTTTGAATATTTAACAGGGGTGCATACATGTAAATATGCTTAACATTCCATTATTTATTTAATATAGACATGTCACTTTAATATCTTTTATCTTCTTTCTAGATCCTCAATTCCCAGATAACAGATACAGGCAGGTATGTCTGTGTTGTGGAGAACACAGCAGGAAGTGCCAAAAAATATTTTAACCTTAATGTTCATGGTAAGATTGCTATTTTCTAAGATGTGGATTGGTTGTGTTCAAATAAGGAACTGTTTAATGCAAAGATTCCTGACTACAAAAAAACAAAACATACTTTAATGTACAATTAGATCTTGCTTCAGTAAGGTGCAAAAGTGTTCACTTCCGCAGAAAAAAGCAGAGGGACTTGAAGAACCTGTTAATGAGAAATGGCAACACAACATGAATTTAAATGGGCCACCCAAATCCTTGGGGCCAGTCTTCAGACTGTTTTCTGCACTTGACATCATCTCTGTCTTCCAAACCTGCTAACCCACTGAAGCAAACATAACTCCCCCCCCGGATCCTTTCTGGCCACTCTCTTGTATTAATTCGTATTTGTGTAGCACCTTCAAAATGGCCAAAGTGCTTTGCAGTTCTTATTTCATCCCTGCAACTTGCTGTGAGTTAGAGTGGACAAATCAGAGCATTGTCGGAAGACACAAGCCCTTTTCAGTCATCACATCTCACCGTGCATATGGAGAAACACACTGCGTGTGACCCTACTGACACACAACCTTGCCATTTTGTCTGAAAGGGGCAACATGTACATTTTTAGTTTATGCACCCTCATTTTTGTCACTTGTTTGTCCCTATTGCTTTGGGTCCATCCGTCCCCCTTTCCACATGTGTTTTGCTCCCTCTGGGACTACTAGAGAGACCAAAACACATTGTGGGGGGGGGACTCTGAAGCAATAGGAACACACAAGTGATGAAAATGAGAATGCAGAAGAGGCAGTTTGAACATGTGAAAATAGTATGGCCTGAAGCTGCTACTCTGCTGAGATCACGAGCAGCAAAACTCTAATTGCATGTCTGATACAAAGTTCTCATGTCACCCCCCAACAAATATGAGGACTTTGAGACATGCAGAGTTACCCTCAGGATGCTGCTGACGTTGTTTAATGTCAAATTCTCTTTTGAGATGATCAGAATAACTGCTGTATGTAGAATTAATCAAAAATTAGTAATTAGTAACTGAGCTACTGAGACATTTTTAGACCTAGAATTGAACTGAACTCATAAATATCTAGGAACCTAAATCAAAGCAAGTTAAATAGTGGTTAAAAAAACTGGTGCAAAAAACTAAACTGTAAAATCTTATTCTAATGTAATTCTAATTCATATACGCAGTGATGTTCCATGAGATAACCTAGGGAACTCTTCATGCTTAAGAAGCGGTCCAAGAATGTCAGCATCAAAGGGGAGATTTCAAATAGATTTCAGTGTTTGTTCCACTTACAGGACTGCTACAGAACTTGAGATCTCAGGGGGGAATATGGAAGTCCTCAGAGAACAGTATTTTTTTCCTGTTTAATTGACCAGTTGTGATCTCATGAGACATGCCACCAAAAGCACTCCCTCTTCCTAATGTCTAGTAGAACTTTGCTGTGTCCTTACATCATAACATTCCATGTGTTCTCCCATCCACAACTTCACAAAATTGGCTGCTGATGACAGGGAGTAGGGAAATGCAGGTTGTGAGGGTATCAGGATACAGGTATAGCCTACTAGACCTTATAGAGTACAGGGGGAAGAGCTTAGAAACCCACCTGCACAGTTACTGTAATTTCTACTTTTGCCCTGTAGTGTTTAATGGTAACCGTGAACCCTGCTTTTTTAAAGGCTTGCGTATCATTTCAAATTAAACAGTGCTTTTAAGTCAGCTCCATCTCTCCCTTAAATAATTATTTATGTAGGAAATTAATCCTTGGCTGGGGTTTTCTTGGAATAACAGTGCAGGGGATCTTCACAAGACGGGCCACCCAGCTTGTGGTCCTGATGCGAAAAACACTGTCATTCACCATAATGAGTTATTTTCCTTCACTGCCAAGAAATGAAATATTTCCTGCTGTTTTGTACTATTTTTAAAAAACAGCAATCGCTTTCCTGAAATTAAATAACAGATGAACCAAGGCAAAGTCCCTTGGGGAAAGAAAGAGGAGTGAACTTTTGTCTGATAAATTGCAAAACATTTCTAATGCTTTTAAGAAGACCCTTCCAGTTTTGGAACAAAATTCGAGTTCAGCAGCACCTTTAAGACCAACAAAGTCTTATTCAAGGTATAAGCTTTTGTGTGCAAGCTTATACCTTGAATAAAACTTTGTTGGTCTTAAAGGTGCTGCTGAACTCGAATTTTGTTCTGTTGCTTCAGACCAACACAGCTACCCACCTGAATCTACCTTCCAGTTTTGGTTCAACTGTTCTCTATCTATACTCTCTCTTTGGGAGACCTCATCAAATGTCATGGTTTTGACACCACTAATTTACTGATGACCCCCAAATGTACCTCTGTTACTCTGTCCAGTCCCGCAATTATGCCTACCATCATACATCAGCCTCTCATCATTATCCAGAATGGTGTAGTGGTGAGAGGGTCAACATAAGATCCGGAAGACCCAGGTTTGAAAGCTTGCTGGGGTGAGCATGGGCCACTCTCACAGCCTAATTTACTTTGCAAAGTTATAGTAGGATAAATGGAGGAATGGAGAACAATGTTGTGAGACTTTTGGGGTCCCCATTGAGGACAAAAGTGGGATACAAATATCTCAATAAGCAAAGGATCTCAAACTGAACATATCTAAAACTTGAAGCACTTACCTCTCTTCCTTTCCTTGGTGGCTCTCTAAATGAGTAAATGTAATTACCAATTGATCTGGCAAATAACATTGGCTTGTTTTTTAATTATATTTCTGTATTGTTCCCAATGTTCAGTGAGTTACCAAGTAATGTCATTTCACCCTGTTCAAAAATTCTCAAGATGGCTCCATCTGTGGATACCTAAATCCATGGATTGGGGCCATGATCATGAGTATTACAGTCTTTTTCCACATGACCTTCCCCATTCACTCATACATTCGATCACCCATACTAAATAATTTATCATACCTCTTGGCAATTCACTGTGGCCAGTTTACAGGGGAAACAGAAAAACAGTGAGGTGAAATGTTTAAAGTGCTGGGTTCTCTCTAGGGAGACCAGGGTTCAAATCCTCATTTCGCTGTGACTCTCAGTAAGTGACCTGAGGACAGTCGCTCTCTCTAAGCCTAATCTGTCTCAAAATGTTGTGAGAATAAAATGGGGAGGAGGAAAGAGCCATGTTTGCCAGCCTGAATTCTTTGGAGGAAGGGTGGAATAAAATTGCTGTTGTAGTTCACCTGATTTACATTTCTTGTTAATTACAATTTTAATGGATGGCCCTCTCAGTGTTTGTGAGGTTTTCACTTACCCTCTTTCAGTGGATGCCAGCCAACTTGTGCAAGATATAAATGAAGTACTTGGAGAAATGTGCTGTTGATCCTTGCCCTTCAGTGCCAGTCACATTTGCAAAAGTGCATGGGGCAGATAAATAATGCAATATTTCAAGGGTGGTCTATTCCTAAGATTTTAAAGAAAGTTGTGATAAGATCTTTACTTATAAAACAACTTTGAACCCCTCAGATGTGAATAACTTCCATGGTATGTAAAATACACCTTCCTAGTGTAAGGTGCTCAAGTAAGTTGTGGCAACTGGTAGCAGAGACTTCTGAATAAAACAGATTGACACTTTTCAATTTAAAAAACTGCCCTGGTTTCCCTGCTGGATGACCTTTCCTGGACAGCTGACAGGGTGTGTGTATCCTTAATTCTCCTGGCCTTCTCAGTGGCTTTTGATACTATCAGCCATAATATCCTTCTTGAGTGTCTAGTAGGGATGGTTCTGGGGAGCATCATAATTCCACCTTTTCTTCTATGCTTTGTAATATTAAGAAATGCTCGGGGAAGTTATCTGGAGCATTGTAGTATGGTGTCTCACAACTCTAGCTCTTATTTATATCTGATTCCCTGGCAGGAATAGAAATGGTTAATCAGAGGCTGCAAATGGTAAAGGGGTAGATATGGGTGAAAAAACCCTGAAGCTTAACCAAAGCAAAAGATGGAAATAATGTGAGGCAGACCTTGAGCCAAACTGGGAGAAAGATTATTGGTTTAGATATTTTATGTTTTGCTATTCCCCATGGCTTGGGACCCAAAGCATCATCATTCCCCCCTCCTCTAATTGAACCTGGGTCTCCATGGTCCTCCTAGTCCACCATTCTAGCCGCCAACTATACCACCCTGATTATAACCTGTTATTAAAGAGTTTGCAAATCCTAAAAAGGATCAGGTTTATAATCTGGGAGTATTTCAGGTTCCATCCCTGATTTTTCGAGAAGCAGGTGATGGAGGCAGCCAGGACTTCTTTTTAACCATGTGTTTGTTCTTCAGCTACAGTCATTCCTGGAGAAAGCAAATCTCGCCACAGTGACACATCAAGGTGGGCAGCCATGTTGGTCTGAAGCAATAAAACAAAGTAAGAGTCCAATGGCACCTTTAAGACCAACAACGTTTTATTCAAGCTGTGAGCTTTTGTGTGCATGCACACTTCATCAGATGCTGAAATGGAATTATACTTCATCAGATGATGAAATGGAATTACATATCATAGTAGCCAAGATGCTGTAAAGTTCACCTCCATGCTAGAAAGTAGATGGACGGGGCCAATCAGTCAGTTTATTATTACAGTCTTCGACTAGTACATAACAATTTAAAAGACAAATAGAAAAATTCCCACAAATAGAAAAATTCCCGATGGATGGTGTCTAAGGAAAGGATTCTCACAACTTGGGGCACATCAATCTCCAGTTCTGACATCTATATTACCTATGTTGTCCCCCCCCCCAGTTGAACCCCAATCAGGTGATAACCAGAAACTGCGCATTCTTTTGATCTGTTAAAAAAATATCTTCACTATTTTGCATGCTAATTTAACAAGCCACCTCTATATATACAACTATGATATGTAATTCATTTCATCATCTGACCAAGTGTGCATGCTCGCAAAAGCTCACACCTCGAATAAAACATTGTTGGTCTTAACGGTGTCATTGGACTCTCACAGTGACACGTCTTGGTACTGTAAAGTACTTCATGCAATTCTGCCTTTGATGCTTCAGCAGATAGAGTGTTAAGTGGCTACCTGTGGAGGTTGTATCTACAGGATTATATCACCGATTTCTTTCAGGGCTCAGTTCAAAGCACCAGGGTACTGGAGGGACCACCTTTTGCCATATGAACTCAGTGGCACTTAAGGTCAATTACAAGTGCCCTCCTCTGTGTTGACTGTGATGAAAACTGGTGGGCATGCAGGACAGGACTTGTTGTGGACTCTAAACTTTTAAATTCCCTGTCCCAAGAAATCCATCTCTTCTCTTCACTCTTAGCCTCGGGGATTGTTCTTTTCTGGAGGACTTTTGGTGGGTGGACAAACTGTACGGTGCCCTATTAATGTCAATTGACTTAACTACTGGATTTTACTTAGTTGCTTCCAGCTATTTTGTTACTGTTAACATCTAAGGATCATTAATTACTCCTCTTTCTATTGTATCACTGATCTGTACTGTTTTATTTTCATTTTGATTGTAGCATGACATTGTGTACTTTCTTGTGTTTTTAATGTTGTTCTGGGCTGGCCAGTATACTGTCTTATCAGTAGAAGGGTGTCCCTGAGATTTTAAAACTAAACAAAAGGCATTTGTTTTTTTTCCTGTTCGATCAGACAAATTATTTTGGTTTTTTTATGCTTGATGAGACAGAATGTAGTTTAAGTAGCAAGAATGTTTGGACTTGTGTATCTTTCCACAGTTCCTCCAAGTATTGTTGGCAGTAATTCTGAGAATTTGACTGTGGTTGTGAATAACTTTATCTCGTTGACCTGTGAGGTCACTGGCTTTCCTCCTCCTGATCTCAGTTGGCTGAAGAATGGAAAACCTATCAGCTTGAATACAAATGCTCTTATTGTACCTGGTAAGAAGACTCTACTGTTGTTTATTTTCCTCTTTTACCTTTACATGTCAGCTTTGCCAAGATAAAGGGGCTGAGGACAAATGTATGCTTTAGGCATTGTGCTGACACAACTGTGTTCTTAAAATGATACAACTGGGAGAAAAACACAAATTCCTGAACACTTTCAAATAAAAAAGAAAATATAATTGTTTGGAGTAACCAGTTGGGCTGCGAATGTTGCCTTCTTTTTTCTATTTAAAAGGTCAGTTTTTAAAGTGTTGCTGTCCAAAGAAGGACAGAAAGAACAAACGGTCAGTTCTCTAGTCTACTAACATGGCATCAGTAAGCTCTTGATTGCCATTGATGTGTATTCAATATGGCCCTTGCTTAAGAGGCTATACTTTGCTTTTAACCCAATGAGGGATTTAAGTAAAGGAAAAAGTTCAAGAAAAAAGAGGAGATTGTTTGTTTTGTTTTTTGCTTCCCTTCCAAGTTAGTAATGTCAAAATGCACAAGCAAGTTGACTGCTGGTATATTTACCTCAAATATAAAAGGACAGAATGGCCCAAGGAAGAGCAACATGCAGACTGGACTCAGAAGAGCCAGGGAAAGGCTTGTGCTTCCTTAGATGCTCATGTCACCATCTCACAGTTAGATTTTTAAACAGAATTACTGTTTGCTAATACATTGTCCAGGGCTAGAAATGCGCAACGATTTTTTTTAAAGAAAACAGGTGATACCAAAGAAGCTTCATATCCCAAGACGTAGACACTCTTTTCTCCCTAGTATCTCTCTTTTCAGTCCTTGTTGTAGTTTCATATGAGATGTGTTTTTAAAACTCTGTTCTGCAGGGGTTAGCTAAAAGCCCATATTAAAGAGCTTTGCTGTCTCTGAATCATCTCAGGTGGTCGAACATTGCAGATTCCTAGGGCCCGGCTGTCTGACGGTGGAGAATATGTTTGTGTAGCCAGAAACAGTGCTGGGGAAAGCATGAAAAGGAGCTTCCTGACTGTTTATGGTGCGTCTTACTGTGTCTTTACAATTGAAGAAAAAAATGGCAAAAAATAACATCTGGTAATTTCTCTAAGGTTGAAATTCTTTCGTCCAAGGAAAGTAAATATATATTCATGTGTTTTTCCCCTCCAAAGTTCCTCCCAGCATTAAAGACCACAGTGGCTCAGCTCTTTCAGTGGTAAATGTGAGGGTGGGGATGCCAGTGATGCTGGAGTGTGAGTCCAATGCCGTTCCACCTCCCATCATTACCTGGTACAAGAACGGACGCACGATCATGGCATCGTCCAATGTGGGAATCAACGCCGATGGACAAATGCTTCATATCAGGAGTGCGGAGGTATTTATATTTGCTATGTCAGACTCTCAAGGTAGCTTACGCCAAATACAAAATACACATTTTAAAACTAAACAAATTGATCCTTATATTGCAGCACAGAGGTAAAAAGACAAGGGAATCAGAATATGTTTAACCATTCCACCACTTAGCCCTTTGCAGAAAAGAGGTAGTAATCAGCTTGTTTAATCATATACATCTCTCACTGGTGTTTTCTGAATAGCAGACCATTAAAGGTAAGGTTGGTATATGTAATTACCTTTGGGGCATATTTCAATACAAACAGGTATTGTTTTTTCCCCACCAGTCTGTACTGAATGTTGCTCGACAAACTAGATATTTGAATTGGCTACTACAATCGGTAATCATCAACATGTCTGGGTACAATTCCTTTTAAGCATGCCAGTGATTTAGTTAGTGAGGCTAAAATTGGAGATTGGGGTAGGGGAGATGCTTACATTCATAATTAACTTGTCTGATTATAAACCATAATGAGCACTAAGGAAAAACTATGTAGAAATATAATAAATAGTTGATTGTTAAAACTGATTTGCTTATGCATTCAGCCTTTGTAGCAAGCTCCCAAATGCTCTTTAGTGACTGTTCAAGTCAATTCGCTATTCTTATTTATTGTGCATTGCTGTTAAGCTATTTGTTTTGCAGCTGGAAGATGTTATTCTCAATGAAGTGGCACTTGAATATAATTTCCCTTCTTACATTCTCAGGTATCTGATACAGGCCAGTATGTTTGTAAAGCTACAAATATCGCAGGGCGGGATGACAAAAACTTCCACCTTAATGTTCATGGTAAGTTTATAGGAACAACTGAGAGCCCATGACTGCTTCCATGTGGGGATGGGGTGGAATAAAGTGGGGATGGCATCTGCAAGCCCTGTCCCACTCCCTATTGTCACAGAAGTGTCAAGGTAAAAAATTGTGCTGGGCAACTGCAGCCCAACAATCCCCTCCCCCTTTCTGGCAAAGGTGCAGTGTATGTTCCATTTTGAAGGAGGAGCTTAACTCTTCCCCCTTGCCTTATTGGCTGGAAGCTCTACCTACATTTCCCTGTTTCAATCAGATTTAAGCAGGTTTCCATTTGATCCACTGTAAACAGGGAAGCCCTTGGAGCATCATGAGTCATACTCAGAATAGAAGCTCCCAAATGTGGGGATGAGCTGCCCTTCATTGAGGAGGGGAACCCTGTGTAGAATCCTCAGGTATAAAGTAGTGTGTAGCATGTCAGACAAGGACCAGAGACCTGGGCTGCAGTCACATGGTTGTTTTGATTGGGATTCACTGCTGTTCCCTCTCGCATATAAAATCGCTGATCAGACAGGCCAATCCGCCTCCCGCCCCGAAGCGGGCTCACTCATGCAATGCTCCCGGTTCTCTCCCGCGTTTTCCTACACCCGGAAAAACAAGTACTTTCTGGGTGTTTCTGCTGCAATTCCGCACTTTCCCCTATCTGGACTCCCCTCTCACAAGGAGTGCGATTTGGTCTCTTTTTTTCCCTGGCGACCGCCATTATGCGCATGCGCAGTTATGCACATGATAACCCTTGCACATGCGCAAATGATTTTAAAAAAAATTCCTGCACTGCCACTTGGGTGGTGCAGCTGTCTGACTCATCGCGCGATTAAAGAGGGACGTGTATCCAGTTTTCATCTGATAAATAAAGTTGCGGATAAACCGACAGCGGGAGCAAGTCGCAGTAAGAGGTCAGTATGACCGCAGCCCTGCTTTCAAATCAGCATTTGGCAATTGCAGATGACTGGGTGACCTTGAGCCGGTCAACTGCTTCTGCTTTCAGCATAACTGATCTTATAGGATTGTTGTGAGGATCACAGCCTTGATCCGGAGATGCTCAGGAGAAAGGCTGCTATAGAAAGGTTCAGTCAATCAATTAAAATATCAAAGGGAAAAAAGGAAAATTCTACACGCTGCCCTGAGCTCCTTGAAAGTAAGAAAAGAAATGGATGGATGGAGTCACAGATATATTAGCCAACAGTTAGTTAATCAAACAGCTAATTGGACAAAAGCCCATTTGCCTTGGGCTCTTTTTCCCCAGGAAATATTCTTTAATTAATTGCCCGGTCACTTTTAGGTGACTGTACAACTTGGAAGCTGTATTGGGCTGGGAAAGGGAAGAAGTGTTGAGCCCCCATCTTTTTGCAATTCTTTGTTCTTGTTCACAGTTCCACCCAACATTGAAGGCCCTCATCAAGAGTGGATCAATGAAACTATCAGTAACCCTGTAACCTTTATTTGTGATGCCACTGGAATTCCTCCACCAATGATAACATGGCTGAAGAATGGAAAGCCAATTGGTAATGTGCCCTGTAATTCATGTAGCGATTCATCATTATAAATTTCTTGTCTAGTATTTTAAGATATGAAGAGTTCAGTTAAAATTCAACTGGACAAGGTAATGATAAGACCAAAAAATGAGTAGTTTTTAATCTCCTTGTTCCTTCCCTGTAGTCCCTTTAGGGAAGTTATATCAAGACAAGAAATGTTTTTTATTTTTTAAATTTATTTTCCTCACTTTCAAACTGCTTTCATTCAAGAAAGGATTCAAGGCAGGTTACAATGATACATTAAAATAAATTTCAATACACATTACAACCAACCACAAACCTATCTAGAATCAGTACTGGCCTCCAGAAAGAAAGAAAAAAGGATGTGAAAAGTCCTGCAAAATTGTTTTGTTTTACATTGGTCTCTTTCACACACACTAAATAATGCACTTTCAGTCCACTTTCAATGCACTTTGCAACTGGATTTTACTGTGGCCCATTCTGCATCTAATATTCACTCCATTGTTTTACCAAACCCATACTGGAACAAAAAAAGGTATGGCTCAAAACCACATTCAAATACCCCAGGCCAACACTATACTGACTGCAGAATTACCCCTGAATGGCCATAAAACAGCCATAAATCTATGCAGACAGTACTATAAAACTAAGAGATCAAAGGAAGTCAAAGCCGCATGCAGTGTGGAGAGTTCGATAAAATCTGACAAAGAAAGTGAAAGTGGCATGCAAAGTAGAGGGGAATTTCTGTCCCAAGATGGGTTTGGTAAAACAGCGGAGCGAATGCTAGATGCAGAATGGGCCTGTGTGAAACATCAAAATCCACCTGCAAACGATCACTGAAGTGGATTGAAACTGCATTATTTCGCATGTGTGGAAGTGCCTCAGCATTGTCAATGGAGCTGATTCAAGATTCTAAGCAAATTGATGGATTATGAGTGTAACTATGTGAGATGATGATGATAATAATAATAATAATAATAATAATTTTCATTTATTAATCGCTTTCCCCAGTGGGCTCAAAGCGATGTACAGTTACTCAAATATAGACAAGGGACTAACAATGTTTGTAGGGGATAGGGAAGACAACATATATATTCATTTTAACTGCACACGCCGATACTGCCCCGGTGTAGAACGTCTTCTTGGCTGGCTTCGTCATTTTCCGGCACGGCTGCTTGCTGCTCAGGCTCCGGGACCCGTATGTCTGTCGCCACACTGCCACCGCCTGGCCGGAACGTCCGTTGCAGGAGTTCGATCTGTAGCCGGCAAGCTGTTTTGCCTTTACAAGCCGTGACCATCGACGTTCAACTGTCAGCTAATGCCCTCCCAGAAGGAAGATTGGCGTGCCCGCCCTCGCTAAGGAGCGGTTCCCATTTTATCTACTCGCCGGAGCTTTCGAATCGCTGGGTAGACGATGAGCTGGGGACAACAGGCTGGCTGCTCACACCAGCGCGGGGCTTGAACTGACACAGTTCAGATGTTAAGGCAGTGGGATATACCCACAGAGGGGAAGGGATTATTTATTTATATAGAGAATTCATAGCCTGCTTTACTTAAGACTGCCAACCTCCTGGAATTATTACTGATTTCCAGACTACAGAGATCAGTTCCCTTGGAAAAAATAGCAGCTTTGGGGGGCAAATTCCATTGTATCACATCCCTGATGAGCTTCCTTCCCAAACTCAACCCTCCCCAGGAAGCTTCTACAAGAGTTTCCCAAATTGGATTTGGCAACCCTGTATTATCATGGCCAAAGTCCTTCTCAAAGCTGCTAACCAAAGTTATTTAAACATTATAGTCAAATACATTAAAGCAGAGGTCATTTCGGGGAGGATCGTGGGGGATCGTAGTTCCCCCGGGTGAGGTACGGGGGGCGGGGCACATGACAAAGCCCCGCCCCCTGCTTCCGGCTGCCCCGCTTCCGGCCCTCATTCAGCCAGGAGGAGGCAGGAGAAGAGGGAGGGTAAGTTGCTTCCTCCCTGCCTCCCCCCCCAGCCTGCCTGGGGCCAGGGAGGGCCTTTGCACTCCCGCTGGCCTTGCAGGTCCACTGCCGGGCCCCTCATGGGGCTCTGCAGTGGAGCTGCAAGGCCGGCGGCGGCGGCCGGGACCATTGGGGGCGGGGTGTGTGGCCTTATGACACACGTCCGGTGATGTCAGGGGGTGTGGCATATGCTAATGAGTTATGCTAATGAGTTCCCCTAGCTCTTTTTCTACGAAACAACCCCTGCATTAAAGAAATTGATATGTCACAGAGAAGAGACACGTTGGCACTGGATCTCTTTCAGCCCTTGACAGCAGCTGGACTTCTCATGGTTGGCAGTTACCATGAGGATTACCTCATAGTTAGGAACTAACTTATATTCTATAAGTGCAAAAGGGTTCAAGGAATGTGGCCTGAAACCCATTTAACTGGCCTATATCAACTGTGGGATCCATAATCTAAGGACTGTGAATCCTACCAAGATTTCCCTCAGCCCAGATAGCTGCTGCAATGTTGTGACTTATTCGCAGGCCTATTATTCAAAGTGTAAAGAACATTGGAGAAGAAGGTACAGTGAGCCAGCTAGGATACACAAACATCATGTTGCCACACCCTGATATACTCTAGAGGCGTCACTGTACAGTTGAGTTCAGCAGTCATCTAGGAAAAAACCTGCAACTTCTGTATATATTCAATAGTAACTGATTCCTGTTCATTTGTCTGCATTTAGAAAACTCTGACTCTCTTGAGATGCATATTTTGTCGGGAGGCAGCAAGCTTCAAATTGCTAGGTCTCAGCATTCAGATAATGGGAACTACTCCTGCATTGCCTCAAATGTAGAAGGCAAAGCTCGGAAATTTTACAGTCTTTCTGTTCAAGGTACAATATTTGGTGTGTTTGTGTGCATGTGTTCTGCTCTGCTGAAAATAGTAGTCTTGGGATAAGTGTTGCAAAGTAACTTGCTTGTGTTTATTAAGCCATGTAGTGCTTTGTATTTGGAGACTTGTATTAAGCTACGTAGTGCTTTGTATTTGGCAAATCTGAACCTAAAAAAACAATAGGGAACCATCTTGGTGCTGCTGTGGCCTCCCTTTTTGGGAAATCAGCATAGGACTCAGTAGATCTCTGCTGCCTCAACTTGGGGCTATGGACATACCTGAACCATAATAATTGCTCATTATTGTGAACACAAGGCCCTTGCCTATTCCTGTATGAAGGCACAGAGCTCTCCCATTGG